TAAGATTTTTTAAATATTTTTCGTTAGGTTAAAAATGTGGAGATAGAATATCGAAGTATTTAGAATACTTGGAGCCTATATCAAAATATACTTTATAAAATTTATATATATTATTCTGATCTAGTTTATTAATCACAACTATATAGAATTATATCCATCCCTCAAGTTCATTTGCACAACTTTAAATCTTTGCCAATAGTTTGCACTTAAGTATTGATGTTTGTTAATATTATTGATCAATATTACCCGATCGTAAGATATCATATGCAAGTACAATACTTGATACACATAGGAACTGATTCATATTTGTTTCCAACTTATATTTGCACAGCAAACAACATTTAAGTCTAGAGATTAGAGCCAAGAGGTTTCACTTGCAGATCGTTGCAATTCTTCAGGAAATTTCCAGCGCAACTATTTGCCTTTATTTTGATTGTCTACCTTTTTATTGCTGTTTCAGTTTCTGTTTTTGTTACTATTTTTATTGTCTGTTTTTTTTTTCAATTTTTGTTTTCATTGTAATTGCACTTGTATTGGCATTCACCTTTTCATTCAAAAAGCAACTAGCTCAGCGCTTTTATTGCCTAACAGCAACAACCTTCAGCTTAACTGTTTCCCCATTTCTTCAGCAACCGCAACAACAACAACAACAACAGCAAAGCAAAGAAAAAGAAGAGGCAGCAGAAGTTCAGTTGCATAAATAAAACAACGCACTTGACCGTCAGCGAAAGACATAATTATCATTGTTAATAATTAACATTGGAGACAGAAATGAAAAAACTATTGTTTTTGTTTTTGTTTTTTTTTTTAGCTTGACCCACAGTGCGTATGAGTAACATTTTTAACTTTGCTGTAAATGTGTGTAAACGCGGCCTTTTACATGGCTATTACAAGCGAGCAACATGGTAATGTGAGGCAAAAGAGAAGCTAAAGTAGAAGTTCAGTTAAGTCAACGAGAAATTGTAACTGAGACGAGACAGAGACAGCCAGCGAGAGAGTGAGAGAGAGGGAGAGCAGACACTAGAGGTCAAGAAACAAGCAGCAGCAAGGGAGTGGAGCGGGAGGAGAGGCGCGTGACTGTGTGACTCGTTCTAGACAATCCTTGGCCATAATCAAGCTTTGTCTGACCAAACAGTTTTCTTTTCCTCTTGCTTTTATGTGTTTTAATTAAAGCTGCAATTGAAATCGAAAGCCAACGCCAGACGCGCATTAAATGTTGTTCAAAAGGAAATAGCTGAATCGAGCAAACAGCAGCAGCAGGCGGCAGGCGGCAGAGTTTTTTTTTTTGCTTGCACTTGACAACGAAACTGACAACAACACACAACAACAACAACAATAACAACAGACAATGGCATCCTACTTTTTAGCCACAAACAGCCAGCAACAACAACAACAGCAGCAGCAGCAAAACAAGTTGCTCATACGCCCCGTTGGCCCGTTTAGCCGCTTTGGCATTGTTTGTGGCTCGTCTGCAATGCTTTGCTTAGTTTTATTTTTTCATTCGTTTTTTTGGTTTTCCTTTCTGTTGCACTTGCACTTTCTTTTTGCATTATGGCGTGTGGAAAAACTTTCGATTTTCTCGCATACAAATGGAGAAAAAAAGCAACGAAAAAGCAAATTATTTTTAAAGAAAATGAAAGCGAGAAGTGCAACAACTCAGAGACTGAGACAGAGATAGCAACATTGAGACGGCAGACGGACGGACGACTCACTCCTAACCGAGTTAATAGTAATGTGTGGAAACTTGTGGAAAACTCTAATCAGGTTTTCCTTGCCCACCCCACAGCACCCCAGAGTAGCGCCCTAAATTTGCAGCTTGCGTTTACGATGCTCCGTTTGCTTTTATGGCCCAGCACT